AATGGCTTTACTTTTCCAAGTTAAAAAATTAATTTGTAAAAATTCCTTTTTCTGTTTTTTTCCAGTTGTATTATCATCTCTGCCACAGGCCAATGAAATATAGTTTCCATATAATACTCTTATTCCTTGGACGTTTTCCTTCCACTTCCTGAGATCCTGCTCTAGTCTGGATCAGTTGCGTCTTTGTTTTCTATATACCGTCTTTCTGAACTTTCCCTCTCGCTGCTTCCTGGGTTCCTTGTCTTGTTATCTCATGCTTTACACCCATTTTCCTATGATGTACTCTTTATTTAGCTTCCTGTGGTGGTGTTTTGTTTTTGGTTTTGATTGATTTTTTTTTTTTTTTTTTTGAGACCTTACATGTCTGAAAATGTTTTATTTTCCACCTCATACTTAGTTACTAGATTGGAATTTAGGGCTAAACGTTTTTCTCAGTTCTATAGGCATTGTTTCATTGTCTTAATTAAGAGTTTGGTGTTGCTGTTAACCCATTCTGATTACTTTTCCTTTATATGTGACCCATTTTTCCACTCTGTTAACTTATAGGATCTTCCCTTTATTTTTTTTATTTTTTGGCAGCTGGCCAGTGTGGGGAACTGAACTATTGACCTTGATGTTAAAAGGCTGTGTTCTAACCACCTGAGCTAACCAGCCAGCCCTAGGATCTTCCTTTTATTTCTGGTTTTCTGAAATTTGAAGATGACATATTGTGCTTAGTATTGGTCTTTTTTCTTTGATGCTGCTGAATTCTTGAGTCCTTTCAGTGTGGAGACTTGTGTCCTTCAATTTTAGAAGGGTTCCTTTATTTCTTTTGTAATTTTCTTTCTTCTCTTCTATGGCCATAGTCAAATGATAACACCCTGGACAGTTCTCTTGTTTTCATGTTACATTTTTACTTCTTTTGTTCTTCTTTGTGGGAGGTTTCCTCAATTTACTCCCAATCCTTATGTTGAATTTATTTCAATGTGTCTTATTTTAAAAAGTATATCACATTTTGAGTTTCCACAAGCTCTTTATTATACTCTGATGGCATTCTCAAGCATCCTATTATTATTTTTTTGAGTGAATGTTATTTGGTCCCTTTGAGAAAGTAATTAGCCTCTTTCTCCCAAATTTTCTGCTCCCTGGATTATATCTGTTTCTTTTTTGTTGTTGTTTACTTTAGTCTTTTTTCGTATTGGAGGCCTTCCTTAGATACTGTGTGATCCTTGATGTTTATTAGAAACTCGGTGGCTAATGGACTTTGCTGTAGGGTAGGATGGTCAAGTGGCAAGCTAGCTTTTTAATTGGGAGCATTCCAAATGTCATTATCCAGAAATCTTATCTCTGATATTGTGATGTAAGAATAGAATCCTTTAGTCTGCGGACAGCATTGTAGAAACAGAACCAGGAAAGACACTCTGAGTCTCAATATTGAATATATATTTTCTTTTATTCCTTATACTACCCCAGCCTAAAACCCTTGCAGAAATGATTGTACATTTAGGAGGGAAAATTGCCTGCGAGACCTTTAATCTCAAGAGAATAAATATCCCGTCTTTAGGTGAATGGAGTTGGGGAAGTATCTGTAGTTCTACTGCTCCAAATAATGAGGGTACTCCAAAAAGTTTGTGGAAAGTCTCATATTATTTTTAATTCTGTTTTTCCACAAACTTTATGAAGTACCCTTGTTCAAGATTTAATTTACCAAATCTCTTTTCAACCCTATTCATCATCCCTTCTATTCCCCTCAACTTTTTTATTGTGGTAAAATAGACATAACAAAATTTACCACCTTACCCATGTTTCATTGTATAGTTTGGTCTTTTAAATACATTCATAATGTGCAACCATTACCACCCTCCGTCTCCATAACTCTTTTCATCTTGTAGAACCTAAACTCTATACTCATTCTACACTAACTTCCCGTTCTTACCAATTCCCAGCCCCTGCCAAAGTACTATTCTACTTTCTGTCTCTATGATTTTGACCATTCTAAATATCTCGTAAGTGGAATCACACAGTATTTGTCTTTTTGTGATTGGCTTTATTTCACTTACTATAATGTCCTCAAAGTTTATTCATCTGGTATATGTCAGTTTCCATCCATTTTAAGGATGAATGAATAGTGTCCAAAGAATAATATTGCATTGTATGTATATACCACATTTTGCTTATCCATTCATCCGTTGATGGACACTTGGGTTGCTTCCGCATTTTAGCTATTGTGAATAATGCTACTATAAACATAGATACACAAATATCTCTTTGAGACCCTGCTTTTAATTCTTTTGGTTATACACCCAGAAATGAAATTGCTGTATCATATGGTAATTCTATTTTTAATTTTTTGAGGAACGACCATACTGTTTTCTGTAGTTGGTTGTACCATTTTATAGCACAGTTCATTTTTATAGTACCTTGTACCTCCAAGTCTTGATCCTTTCTAGGAAGCTAAGGCCAAATGTTTTCTTTGCCTCCAGTTCTTACCTCTTTCTAGGTACCAACAGTATAGTCTAATCCTCTCTGCTGAATTACTCTGCCTCTCTCACTTTTGATTTTTCAAATATACATTGAAATCTCTTGCTTTCTGTGGTCTCCTTTCCAGTTGTTTTGTTTCGATTTTTGTTTTCTTGGTTAAAACTTGATTCATTTACTGTCATTTTATAGTGGTTTTGGAAAGAGTGGGCAAAATAGATGCATAAGGATAACCTGTCATGTTTAACTGGATGTTTTTGATAAGCTTTGTTTGATTTAATCACATGCCATAGTATAACTTTTTTTTTTTTTTAAATGATGACTGGTAAGGGGATCTTAACCCTTGACTTGGTGTTGTCAGCACCATGCTCTCACAAGTGTCCTAACTGGCCATCCCTATATAGGGATCCGAATTCATGACCTTGGTGTTATCAGCACCACACTCTCCCAAGTGAGCCATGGGCTGGCCCCATAGTATAACTTTTGCTCTGGTTTTTCATTATTAGATATCCTTGGTTACATAATTTTAATCGATACTTATCTTTTTCATGTTTGTTGTATGCCTCCCACTACCATATGAACCATATGTTTTGTTGATGTTTTTTGTTCTCTTCATCCTCTTTTCTGTCATTTCCTGATACCATGTTTTTAAGACAAAGATTATTGAAAAAGGAAATTCTTCTGTAGTAAGATTAAGGTAGAAAGATGTGATTAATCCTAAACTTAATTGATAAGTTAATGAAGATACATGCAGAAAATTAGATGCTTTTAACTTGAATGTTTAAATTTGAATGTTTTAATAAAGCAAGTATATATTCTTTATTCAAATGGCACATCTGAAAAGCGAATTGCATCTGTTTGTCTTTGCCTGAATTCCAGTCCACTACCAGCACTATAAGGGAATAAATAATTTTTGAACTTGAAAGTGGGTGACTGGAAGAAGTTGGAAAGATTGTTTTGATATCTGTTCTTTTCATTTGCTGCTTTCTTTTGTTGTTCTTTTTCTACTCTCATGACTGGTATCTCCAGTGTCCAGGGGCCTCCTTCTAAATCTTTGCACCAGAAAAGTTAAATTTTTAAAAAATTTATTAAAGCAGTGTCCTTATAGTAGCACTATTTGTAATAGCCCCAAACTGGAAACAATCCCATGTGTATGCACAGTAGAATGGGAAAATAAATTGTGTGCATTAATACAGTAAAATACTATATAAGCAAATTAGAGTTAACTCACTACAACTACATGCAACCACATGGATGCATCTCACAAATACTAGAATGGGAAAATAAATTGTGTGCATTAATACAGTAAAATACTATATAAGCAAATTAGAGTGAACTCACTACAACTACATGCAACCACATGGATGCATCTCACAAATACAAGGTTGAGCAAATGAGGCCAGACACAAAAGAATACCTGTTTTATGATTCCATTCATATATATACATAATTAAAAATCAGGCATAGCTAATGGTTACTTTTGTCATGGGTTGAAGAATATTTAATGAAGAAAATTTAGACATTAATCTACAGAGTGCAAGACACTTAATTCCACAGTTTATATAAACCAAATTTAACAATTTGGTTTATTTCGTTAGAAGTGTCTTCCTTTCTTTTTTTACGTAATTGGAATCATATTCTTTGTTGCAGTGTTATAGATTGACCTTTTCACTTAAAAGATGTCACTTTTCAATAGTGGCAATGGTTAGGTTGGGGATTCAGTGAACTAATAAATAATCAGGTGAACCTTATCCCCAGGCCTGGCATATAATACTCAATTAATATTAGCTATTGTTATTATTTTTGTTGTTATAATTAAAAGATCCTATCAGTGGTAAATAGAAGGAAAATACATTCATTCTTTCGTTACACTTTAGCTTGTGTTTATTGAGTGCCTATTGTATTCCAGGCAACAGTTTTAAAATACTTTAATGAGAAAAGATCCTGAACTAGAGAAATTCATTATTGAGAAGGGGAAATAGGTAAACAAATTACAATGTAAGGTAGTATGATGTCTTTATAAAAGTGTATACAAAGTGGAAACACAAAGAGTATGCTTGTGTTTAGACTGATGACCAGGAATAAGATGGAGAATGTATAGACTTTCCAGGCATGTACAAAGGCCACTGAGAGCATATTGTGGTAAGAGGTACGCAAATAGTATAATAAGTATACACATTGAATGCTAATAATATAGAAGAATACCAAGAGAGTCAAGGGCAAGTTCATATGGGATTTTATATAGAGATAAAGTTAAGTAAGGAAAAGAGTCTAGGTTTTGGAAACAACAGACCTCAAAGTTGTGATCCCACTTTTACTGTGTTTGCTTCATTTTATGGGCAGTGAGAAACCTTTGATGGACTTGAGAAAGAAATCTATCTGCCTTATAGAAGAGAAGTGATGACACACACTCACAGTTTACCTTATCAGATATGATTAATTGCATGGTTAATTCTTGATTTGAACTCATGATTATGGAGGATTAAGAATTAAGGGCTTGCGTTTTTTCTGAAAGGCAATTAATGAAAATTTGCATTTCACAGAAAACCTTAAAAATGGAGTCTAAACCTTCAAGGATTCCAAGAAGAATTTCTGTTCAACCCTCCAACTCTTTAAGTGCTAGGATGATGTCTGGAAGCAGAGGAAGTAGTTTAAATGAAACCTATCACTCAAGAGACTCTTCATTTAGACTGGATTCTGAATATCAGGTAACATCTTAATTTGGAATGTATGTACACAGTCTTTTTCAGAATCCTTGGGGCCACTTTTGTTTGTTTTTTATTTTAAAAAAGTAGTAAGTAGCTGGATCTGAGGTATTCTGTAATCAAAACATCTGTAGCAAAATGGGAATGACTGATGCTTTTCAAACTTTTTGGACTTCAAAATTATGGATAAGGGATTGTGGCCTTATATAAAATAATACTGTCCAAAAACTTGGAAAACTTTATACTTAAAAACATAAATATCAGTTTAAGTATAAATTTGACTAAATTGGTCAACATGGATGGCTTTGTCAAAGAACCAAAAATTGCGTCCTTTTCCACTAACATCATATTCATTCATCTGACTTTTCTCTGCATGTACGCAAAGCAGTGGTGGAATAATAATAAAGTGATTTTCTTTGAGAATATGACTTCTTACTATTTCGCTGTTAATGTTGGATGATTATTAAATTAACAGGCTGACCTTTTATGAAGATGCTAGCAGTCTTTTACATGAATTTTTGGGTTATATTTTTATTGTTAGTAATGAGTTTGCACTGATTCATCTACTCTCGTGTAGGTAGTTTTCTTTAGTACAAACAGCTCTCTGGTTTTGAAATGGCTTATCAGTGTGTAACACAATAGTTGTAGAATAAGATGGTGTAAATTAAGTTCATTGCATTTTTGGCTGAACAAGTAACTTGTGATTTATAACAATCTGATTTTGAGGTAACTGAATCTAAAAGAATCCTTAGTTGAAATTTTCTGTTTGTGTTAAGTATTTATATGTTTACATATCATGTGATATATAATGTATGACAAAGTCTAATTTTAAAATATTTCTGCACAGTAATAAGTATTTTATAAAATATTCAGAGAAAGACTGAAGTAAAATAATTTATCTAAAATGCCCATTTATACTTCCCAGTTCTTAATCGACTATATGAACTATTTACTTGGTCTCATTTTAAATGTTGATTGATTATATATTTTTATTCTGTTGCTAGACAAGTGTATGTATGCTAGAAGTACAGAATCATATATTTTGTATTCTATAGAAACGTGACATATAAAGGGCATAGAATTGTGGGGTTATTTTCTTGATAATGTCTTTATAAAATTTTGTCTACTGATTTTTGTCTAACTTTTTTTATATAGCTTATTAGTGAGGAACACAAACTTTTAAACTAGACTATATTGCTGTGATTGGGGTCCTGTTCCATTACTTGCTAGCTATTAACATCTTTTTGTCTTGTCTTCCACATCACCTACCTGTTCCGGTTGTTAGACTTAAATGAATTAATACCAAATAGATATTGAGTGAGAGTGGTGCCTGGCGCATGATAAATGCTATATAAATGTTAATACTATATAAATGTTATCTGCTGCATTTGTTTTATTGTAATTTTTATAGTAGTCATAATTTAGGTGCTAAAGTCTTGAATATATTTAGAAAATTTATTGACATTTAAGATGACTATTTTCAAACTATTCCTGCCATCTTGTTCTTAGTGTTGTAGATTATTCAAAGTTCCATTTTTCATTATGTAAAACAAATAAAAGCATTTTAAAAATCATTTAATTGACATTTTAATAGTTGAAATGACCCCACCTGAAAGGTGGTAGTAGTAACCTATTATTGTTGAATTCTTTTCCAAAATTTTAGTGTATTTAAATACCAAAGTAAAATTCAAAAATTATTTGCAAACAACCAAATTTTAAAATCTTTTATTGATTCTTAATAAGATTAATCAGTTTTGTAAACTTTGTGAGTCTCCATAATGCTTTTCAGTTATTTTAAATTGGTTGTAATCTTTTTTAATGGATTATAGGAATAGTTTCAATCATAAATCAGCTATTCTTAGCCTGCTTTGCTTTATAAATTTTGATTTAGAAACTGAAACTCCTGTGTTCTTGAACAAAGTATTTTACTTCTGTTTCCCCTTTTGTAAAATGGTGATAATAATAGCGGCTTCTTCAGATGGTCATAGTTAAGATTGATAGATAGAAATAATACATGTGAAGCATTTGGAACAACAGTGCCTGGAATATTGTAAGGGTTCAAATTACGTATTGCATATTTAGTTTTATTTAGCATTCTTAAGATTACTCAGCAAAATTTATATTTAATGAATGAAAGGAACCTTTAAATGTCAAAGGGAGTATTTTTTTTTTTTTTTAATTGTGGAAGCTTTCTCAGTTGCCTCCGATATAAAACTCTTTATCTCTGGGCACTTAGTGAAACTGAAGCTTCATAGTGGCGTCAGGTCTAGGGCATGGTAGATCAATTCTGATTATGTTATGGATTAAATAATATTCTATTTCTGTAGTATATAAATATTAAACATTTATAATAAACATATTTGTATAAATATTAAATATTGTATTTATGTATTTATATAGTGCTTGACATTTTATAGAACCTTTTTCACTTGTAATTTTAGTTAAATAGGACAGATATTTGTGTCATTTCATAGATAAGGATCTGAATCTGGAAAGATAAGTGATTTCCCCCAGTTACATGATTAGTGTGTAATGTACTAGAGCTTAAGAACTCGGGACTTTTGGATAGCATTCTTAAGATTACTATGTTTCTTTGGAAAAATGTAGATTCTGAGTTCCAAATGATTGTTTCCTAAATACCTTATGGTACTGTACATGAGTGTTCATAGCAGAATTATTCATAATAGCCAAAAGTGGAAAAAGCCCAAAAACTACTTGTGTAAGCATCCATTTTGTGCAAGGCAGTATACAAGGGTACTTAAGTAAGTTCATGGAAAGATCTGTATTGTCTTTTTAATTCTATTTTTCTGTGAACTTTTTAAAGTACCCTCGTACTTTGAAGACAGACTCATTCTCTGATTTCATTTGACCTCAATAGTTCTAGAATGCAGAATAGATAAGATAATATACTGTTAAGTGAATTCAACACTTGTTAAAAGAATTCAGTGGGGGGCGAATCTAATTGGTTTAGACAGAAAATATTTGAACAATGGACAAAATTGGGTTGGTAGGAAACCAAGAAAAGATTTGATTTTGAATTTAAGCCAGCAGCAAAACTGGCTATAACTTTCTTCCTTCTATATACTGATATTAACAAGTTTTATTTTGTTTCCGGGGTGATATATAGGCTGCACAGGCTGCCTTTTGAGTTGAGAGTCATGAAAATTGTTTCTTTGGGCACTTCAAAATTTAGGTATCAAGTGAAATTTATCATTTTATCATCTACATCTGCTCCTCTGTAGTCAATATTTTTAATGAACGGCATAGTCATTTATCTCACCAGCTATTGCCGGAACACTGGAATGATTTCAGACTTCATGTTCATTTCTCACATTTTTCTCTAAAGCTGATGAATTTTTATCATTGCTCTCTGTTCCCATTATTTTTGTCACAGGAACTTATTCTTGCTATTCCAGTGGCTTCCTAATTTGTTTTCCTACTTTCTGTCCACCCGTTTCATCTTTCTCTCTCCTCAGAGAGTCATTCTGTAAAGTAGTAGATATGATGGTATCCCCTTCCTCAGTGGTTCAAAGTCATTTTTGCAGAAGTGCTTTCCATTAACAGTTTGTCTAGTCCTTGCAGAATGAGAAAAACGACAAGTTACAGAGTTAGTACAAATAAAAACTTACTCAACTTAAAAGACTTTTATTGTGAATTATATCCTTCATGTTTTGGGAGTCATGTATTTAATGTCGTTTTTAAAATTGGGGATGGGATTCAGTGGTATTTGCTCTTTTAGATGTCCTACTGGTCAAAAGTGACAGTTCTTTTAAATTTTTAAATTAAAATATTTGTATTTTGGTGTCTGAAATTCAAGGTCTTAAAATCACTGGCCGGCAGGATAACGTTCCTCATACCTTGATGGCATATAAAATGGTTTGTTTGGGTCTGAAATTTCTAATGAATTTCATTTCTTGTGCTAGCTCCAGTTCATTGATTGGGTCTCTGTGGACTTAGCTACAGAAGGCTTGTGAGGCCAAGTTTATGCTAAACTGAAGAATGCCATATTCAGTTTGCAAAATATACTCCAGGCAGAAGATGGGTGAAATCCTGTTCTAGCCCATTCCTACTTTTTTCAGCCTTGTATCTTCTGTTTTTCCATATATATGCAAAATTTATTCTTCAGGGTTACCCTGAGCTAATACATTCCCTGAATAAATGCATTATGCTTCTCGTAATTGAAGCATAATAGAAGATCAAGTAAGTAGGAATTCTGTAGAAGAAATCCAGTGGAAGAATGGTTTATGAATGTTTTCCTGTTGTCTATCTTTAATGTCCTTCATTTGCCTGCCCAATGAACTCCAATTTTCACCTTTTCTGAGTCTTCCCCTGCATCCCTAAGTCACAGGCTCTTTTCTCTGTAAACCTTTCAACATACTTCCTATTATAGTACTTATTTATGTTATAAATATTTATTTACTTGTTTGTTGTCTGTGCTCTAGAGCTCTTTTATTGGAGCACATTGTTTGGGCTCTCGTGTTATCGTATGAATTTTAGATTACCATAGACTAAATTTATGACCCATGATACATTTCATTTTTTAACTCTTGTTAAACAAAAATAACACTTTAAAGAACTTTGTTTCATTTTAATATTCTTTAATTCAATAAACCATTCATCACATACTTAACTTACATGTTAACATGCTTTAAATTTTTTTCTCTTGTATTTCTTTAAAAATTTTCTTTTATTTTCTGAGTCCTTATTGTCTCCAAGCAATTTAGAAATTATATCACAGCTGTGTTTTTTTTTAGTCTGTCTTTGTATGTGTGTCTAAGAAATTGGCAATGAAGGAAAAATTCTTTTAAAAATAATGGGACAATTTCAATAATTGTGGTTGAAATATGTTCTTGTTATTTAAACCTGTATTTTTAAGGAGACAAACTCATCCTTTTTTAATGCATTTTGTTGAGTAAACTGCTTAACCAATTAAAGAATTAGAAGTAAAGTAATTTGGAAGAGGGTATTTCAAAACAATCATTGGAAAACTAAAGTTAAAAGATTTCCATGAACATTTTGAAGTACCCTCATACATTATGAGTTATGAGTAACATTTGTCTTATAAATTTATTTTGTGTACATATATGTTAAAAGAGAAAATAATGAGCTGTGAGTTTTAAAATGTGTACTTGTTTTAGTTGTTTCTTGATTCACTGATGAAGAAATTTCAGATGTTAAGGTGTCTTTTCTTTAAACATACTGTTATTAGTGTTGTATGACTATATTCCTGAGAATGGGCATCAGATCAGGGATAAATATTTTCATTATTTGAAAAATCTCATTTTCATAGTAGGGTATTCACAATCAGTTTATACGTTGGTGCCTTTCTTGGTGTTCTGTCTACCTCTAAGAAGAGGAAACAAGTTCCTCAGAAGGTTTTTACATTAAACCTGTAAAAATGATTGCAAAGTTTTTGTCCTTCAGTGTTTCACAACCAGGTGTTTATATCTAGTTACAAAGAGAACTGAATCTAAATCAGATTGATAGCCCAGCAAAGTACAATTATAATATATAGTAGAGGGACATGGTAGAAAAGTTGGTGCTTGTTATGAATAAATGGCCCTTGGGAATTTATTGGAGCATTGTAGGTTAAATTTAATATTGAATGCAAGCATTTTCTTCTAAAAAAATTTTTTTAACCTATAGTCTACATCAGCATCAGCTTCACCATTTGAGTCTACATGGTATAGTGAATCTGAGATAACTCAGGGAGCACGATCAAGATCACAAAACCAGCAACGGGATCATGATTCAAAAAGACCTAAACTTTCCTGTACAAACTGTACATCTACCTCAGCTGGGAGAAATGTTGGAAATGGTTTAAGTTCAGTATCAGGTAAGAATTAAATTTCTGTTAAGAGTCACTCTATGTATTTTGGATGAAAGCCTTTTTCCGGGATGTAACATAGGTAGTTGTTCTTAAGTTTGGGATTAAGCAAGTAGATTGCCAGAAGTGTAGTGTAGTTTCCAGAACCTTAAGTTAAATTAGTGCTAGAACTGAAATTAACTTTTCATTTGGCATTTTTGTTCTAAATTGGGTACACATGTTCTACACAAACAGGATATTAGCAGATTTTAATTAATTAGAATAGCTGGTGTATATGGTAATCAAATTGGTAAAAGTAACATGTATTTTGCTGGTTATTATAGGAGATAAATTTTTAAATTGTTATTAGGAAAGCCACATCTACTGATATATGTTAAAAGTATTTTCTAAGCATGTCTTTTGTAAATGATAAACATTGTGGTCTGTAATATTTATTTTCAGAAAATACAGAAACTCTTCAGTTAAAAAAAGTTGGTAGTATTCTAGTAGGAGATATATACAAAGAATTAGAAAGTCATTGTTCTAGCCCCCTAACTAGATGGGTGGCATTGGGCAAGTTACTTAAGCCACTCTGGGATTTAGATAGTTTGTCCATAAAGCTTCATGCCTTGTATTTTGTACTCAGAGACATATTTGTTGTAGAAAGTGAGTAGGTCTTTTGTTGAAAGGGCAGGAGCTTCCTCCAGTTATACTCTTCAAATGAAATGTTAGCAAATGCCTGAAATAGTTTTAAGGGGAAACGAAATGAACACAATTAGAGATAAAATTCTTTAAATGCTTACTATGTATTACCAATTGAATTAGTGTAAGCGATTCCTCTTTATTTTAATAGGCAGGACCGCCACGGGAAAGACATTGCCCATCTGAAGGATTTTAAGAGTAGTGTGATGGGTAACAGCAGACTGACCTTAACTTTGTAGACAAACACCACTGTGCCAGAGATATTTTTGTTCTCTTCTGCCATGTGAAGGCATAGCATTAAATACACTGGGACATTTCCCTTAATAAAGAGGAATTATTAAGGCTTTTGGGACTAGGAAAGGAAGAACAAGAATTTCAAGGTAAATGGTGAGAGGAAAAGAAGTTTGAGACTAATTGCAACAGTACACTAATTAGAATTAAAGAATGAACGAAGTGTGGTAGCAGTAAAAATACTTCTGGTGAAACCATATTATAACCTACAGCACATCATATTCCATTTCAAGATGGCTTTGATTTTGATTTTGGCAGTTCTCCAACATCATTTTCATTGACTTTTCATGAAATTATGCATCTTTGGCAAGATTTGCATTTTCGTTCTGTAATCATTTTATATCATGTTTACATCGTGTAGTCAGATGTTAAGGGAAGTGATTGAGGCACTGATGTTAGGTATGGGGATAGATTTTAGTCTTACAGAAGAATGTGTTTGAGTAGGAAATGTTTTAAGTGATTAGTTCATTAGTGAATAATTTTATGTTTTGCTGAATTTTGTTTCTGTGATTGCAGCCATGATTTTTTTTTTTTTTGTCCTTTTTGAGACCAGCTGCACCATGCTCAGCTAGTGAGCGCTGTGAGCGCACCGGTCATCCCTATATAGGATCCTAACCCGCAGCGGGAGCGCTGCTGTGCTCCCAGCGCTGCACTCTCCTGAGGGTGCCACGGGCTCTGCCCTGCAGCCATGATTTTTTTTTTTTTTTTTTTTTTTTTTTTTTTTTTTTTCCCTGTCCGGGCAACGGATTGCAACCCCCAGTGTTGCCCCCAACCCGGCCCGGGGC